CCAAAATGCACCCTAAAGGACTCTTTTTCAAGATCTCTCCACTCTGCCAATTTCCCATTATTAATCTTGCATTCACACGCATACACACAGAGGATCCCACAGACATACTCCACAGTTACAACACTTGAAACAGAGTCAACAATTAATAACACGGTTATAACAATTTGTCACCAATACCAAAATCACAAGACCAAGTCAAAACTATAACAACCCACAACATAAGTCAAATACCAGTAAAAATCCCAAACTTTTTCTACAAGACGCCCACTGCGTCTTGCAGGACCTAAACCACAAGAAGCCCCCTGCTTCTTGTGGGTGTATACCAAACGGACGCTAGCAGCCGGGTATATGCCTTTACCCACGAGATTTCTTATCTTGATTTACGGAAGGCTTCCAAACTTTGCGTACGCTTACCAAAGCAGTTTACCAAACAGAGATGCCCCCTGCATCTTACAGACTATATAAATGAAAAGAATACCTTTTATGATATGGTCCTTGTCTGCTCCTGCAGGGATCCGAATGAGTCAAGGGGTCCCTCCGGGAAAACAACAAAAACCTCCCGAGGGCCCTAGAGGTGCCCTGTCCTCAGCGGGTCCTGCAGCCGAGCAGAGAGGGTCACATCTGGGGTGCCAAATTGATTCGGAGAAAACTCCAGGAACTCGTCAACAAGGTTTTAAGTTGACAAGCAGGTATTCTTTATTGCGGTGCCGGGAGACATGGGCATGCATACAACAATGTGGTGGTCTCTAAGGGTTGTTTACCTTCCCAAGAAGCTTAATTAACATTACAGACATAGCAATCATCCTGCCCTTTACTGATCAGTTAGTTTAACTGCTTCCATCCTGGACATCAGCTAGTCTGGGATACTCCCCAGTAGATGTTTACACCATCTTAATGGCTTTATTAACACCAAACATAGCAATTATCCTGTATTTTTATTTTACTCCTGGTGCGACTGAAGGGAGGGGAGGATGGGGGAGCCGATGGAGAAGGATAGGGTGGTATCGGTGGGTAAATGCCTTCCCGATCACCTCTCGAGTCCCACCCTTGATAAGGGGGTGGTAAACTATCTAAAGGCTCCCATGATGATTTATTTGGTTTATTCACCTTCCCTTTCTTTTCTGTTAATGGAAATAACGAAACAGTTATAGATGACCCTTTCCATATTGCAGCATAATCACTCTCCTCTTGGTTGAAAGGTTCCTTGCCATTTACATATAGATTTAAAGCCTGACAAATCCAATCATCAAAATACCCGAATACTGGCCAATATGGTCGGGTCGAATTTCCTCTTTTGTCCACACTTCCATACAGTAATGGACCATTTTTTTTCTTTACTTTTTCCCTCCTGGGACGGCCAAAAGCCCCAGTACTGAAGTGTTAACCCCAAGGGACTGTCTGGGGGTATATCTGGTAATTCGCTCCCTGTCTTATTCCTGGGACCTCGCCGTGGGCCCCTCCCTGGCTTAGAGTTACGACTCCTACTCTGACCCGTTTCCCGCCGGGTGTGTCTCCTCTCAATCAATCACTATCACTTCCCTCCTTCAGCGGCCAAGTCCCTCCCGGGAGATTGGAAACGTGCTTAGAAGAGGTCCACACTTGCTTCACAGATCCCGATGCCCTGGCCCGTATTTCCACAGGTCCAGGATACCCAGTCCGTGTCTCAATGGTGCACAAACACAAATCACCAAGCACTCCTTCTCTGCACCGGCCAATTCCCTCAGGGGAGGTTGGAACCGCGGTTAGAGGAAAACATCACAGTCACACTCACACACCGGCCCTCCCACCCAACCGAACGATACTCACAGTCCGTTGTTCTCGTCCGGGTCTTCGTGCACAAGAATTACGGGTACCTTATACTGCAGTTTTTACGGGTTTCAGCCAGTCCTGTCGTCTCCTTCACCCGAATACCGACGTGGTTCTTTTTCATTGTTCTCCTCCTGTTGCTGGGTCTTATCTTTGGGTGATGAAACTTCTTAGAAAGATATTGAATTCCTTGGCAATACATTAACAGGGGATGTCTGTCACAAGCTTAACCACCATCTTAGCCCCCTCAATTCCATTTGTTATATAGTTACATATTCAATACACAAGTTTCACCTCATCCTGTAACAGAATGTATCCCTTGATTACCTAACCCCCTTAAGGCATTCAGGCAATTAAACAAAACACCCTCCGTAATTAGCAAAGCATTTGAGACATTCAAGTAGTTAAACAAAGTATCACTTAAAGTAACAAAGACTTTGATTAAGAAGGATTTTTCCTTTGTTCCTTCTTTTCTTTCATCATTGTATTGACAGGTACTTCTATCTTAATCTGATTATTCGTATACATTCTACACATGATTTTCGATTCCTCCCAAAGTGCAATGATGACAAGGACTCCTAAGTTTCTGACACGAATCATTCCTATATACCTCACAAAGGGAAGGCAAACCTGGACATTGCATGGACATTGGTGGTGTGTTTATCTAATTTTGCTATCTGTGGGCAAGTTACTTATGAAGAAGATGGCAAAAGTACTGCTGAAAAATAAAGAAGCTAAAAACAGCTATTGAAAGAAATAACACTATATATTGTAGAGGAAAACCAAACCAGTCTGAAATAAAGAAAATTCATTCCCCTGTACAGAAATCTTTAATGTGATGCATCAACATAAGAGGCCAATTTCAGGTGGGTCTGTGTTAAAGAGGATTGGGAAGAAGAGTTGGCTGCCAGATTACAAAATCTCCTTTACAAAACAAGGGATTTCAGCAACTTTCTCAGCGTCCAAATCTTCCTCCAAATGCTGTTCCAAATTGCAGTTTCCAGCCCCAGCACAGAAACTCACATCTTCGGGGATTTTATGGAAAACACAAGTCAGCAATGCAACTGAAGTTTAGCTTCTAGCAAACAGCAGTTTAGCAGGGAAGTTGTACTTCCTAATTGTGAGCTGGGGTCATTGACAATGGGCTGTTAAGCGAAACAAAATCCCCTAGAGTCTGTATCTTTTCCTATCTGTCATTCCTCCATAGAAAAAGCTCCTAGTAAAATTCTACAGGAGATGAAGAGAACAAATCTCTTCTTTATGTCTTCCTATCACGTGAAAAGAAGAGGAATTTTAAGTTTCCTCTGCCAATGAATTGGGTACTTTGGGATTTCCAGTTGTCATGCTCAGCATCCATGTGAGGCAGTTTGCTTTAAACAAGCCTTTGAAACCCTAAAAAAAAGCTGTGGGAACAGCAGAGCCTTATTATGCAAAAGAGAAGTGGAAGGCAGCACATTCCCAAGTACTTTGAGATGTGCTTTTAACTCTCACTAGCTGGATGGGCTTCAACAATAAGAACTGAACTGGGGGGTTGGAACTAGGTAATCTTTAAGGTTCTTTCTAAGCCAAACCGTTCTGTGTTCTAGATTCTGTGCATCGGCTGACACAGTAGCATTAAGTTAAACACACTGGGAAATCCAGGCACTGACTTCTGTTCATGTTCCAGGAGAGAAACCTCTGCACATGAGACTAGTTAGTAAGGCAGTGGTGAATGTTGAGAGGTAGTTGCTGCCATGGCAGGGCAAAAGGGAGATGCTAGTATTGGTAAATGTGATATACCTGTGTGTATCGAGTTGCTTTGGTCAGTGTTAAGCAGCAACATGTGCTTTTGTCCCACAACGAAAATACTCTTTTGTAGTGGAAGGTGCTAGTAATGATAGTAGAGATGCTTTGAATCACTCTGTTTTTCCCTAACATCTTTTCAACTGTAATTGCGCTAGTAAAGAGGAAAGTATTTGTAGTCTGAAAGCTGCCAGATTCTTCTTAGCTGTCGTCTTGGCAATCAAATGTCTGCTCTGTGGGAGTGAGTGCAGTAGATAGAGTGGCAATTACTGTGTCAGCTGCGGCTACCAAAACCAAGCTGATGATCTGTTTTTTGAGAACTAACATTTTTTCTCAGGTTATCTTTCAAGATGTCACAATAAGACTTGGTGCAATTACTTTCAGCGACCCATTTATAAGTTTCTTATTGTGCATGTGGATGTCTGTAAGCACAAGAACCTAATGCTGCCTCTGCTAAAATAAAATGTCAACAGGGAATGTCTTAACACAGAAAAAAAAGGTGCTAAGTCTGAATGAGAAAGCCAACTTACAGGAAAAAAATCCCAAATTTTTTTTTTTTTCTAATATCTATTTAGATGAACTCTTAGGCAGAAGTTCTTCCCTGTGAGGGAGGGAAGCCACAAATTGCCCAGGGAAGCTGTGGCTGCCCCATCCCTGAGAGTGTTTAAGGCCAGGTTGGATGGGGCTTGAAGCAACCTGCTCTAGTGGAAGGTGTCCCTGCTTATGGCAGGGGGTTGGAACTGGATGAGCTTTAAGGTCCCTTCCAACCCAAACCAGTCTGTGACTCTATGTTTAGCTCAAGGGAGACCATGCAGAGTTATTAGAGGTTGACTCTGCCCTTGTCGTCTCCCTGGTTTTTCTCAGTGTGCTTCCAACAAAAAGGGGAAGAGCCATCTGTGCAGTGAGTGCTGGTTAGGTAGGAGCAAATGAAAGCTTTTGCCTGATGTGCAGGGTAATAAATGTGCTTAGGTGCACCCTACAATAGTTTTGACTACAAATTGTGATGACTCTTGCCATCCTATTATAACAGACACCTCCAGAAATAACTCTGTTCCTGCTCTCTACTGTCTTGGCTGTGTGTTGCTAATGCTGAGCTGCTTCCTAGCACTGCAATGGGTACAGCACCAATTCCTGCCTGCACAGCTCCCTTCCTAAGGCACAGACTGCTGAAGAGTGCACTGGTAAAAACTGAGATGAGAACCAGTTTTAGAGCTTCTTCTTTTACTTGAGAAGAAGAATCTTGTGCTCTATCTTCTCTATATTCCTATCTTTCTCCTTTGTTTTTTTCCAGGTTGTTTGGCTGGCAGCAGAGGATGACGCATGAGCTGCCGTTGGGAACAATACACAATTTATCCAATATATTGGTGTGAGAGCAGGGAAAAGGGAAGAAACACGATTTTCTCCACGTATTAAGTTCTTTTTTTCTGTATTGTAAGCTTAAAAACTGTGTGTTGTGTTCTATAATCCTGTCTGCCCTTGGTCTGTAGCAGTAGGATCTGTAAATGCAGAGGAAATGAGCACTGCAGCTTTTATCAGAGAAATCTCTTTGTATTAGTTGAGTAATATGAGGAAGAGGTGTCTGTGAGGCAGATAAATAAAGACCTATTCCAAAGCCCCAAGTGAGGCAGCGGGAAGGCTCAGCTATTACTTCAGGGGCTTTAGCATATGCTGCTAAGCCTGCAGAGCAGCGAAATGCATTGCATTTTGTGGCTTTTTTGTCATTAATGTATCGAGGCGCTTGGACTTGAATGCGCGATTATCTGCGTATTTGGAAAGTGCCAAAATACCCGGGTTGTTCTGTGGCCCATGGCCAGATCACGTCCAGGACCTGCATGAGTCTTCATTTAATTGAGTTGATAACTCCTTGCAAAATAAGGCTGGAAAACATAGAATCACAGATTGGTTTGGGTTGGAAGGGACCTTAGTGATCAAAGACCCCAACCACCCTGCCCATACCACTTAAAAATCTGGCCTGGTTGGAATCTTATCAAGTACTTTGTCTTCAGACATCTTCATGACTCATTATTTAGCCTATATTATTTTTATTGTAGGAGATATCAAAGTTTTTCAGTTGAGAAGGAAGAATTGAACTTTTGGGTGCAAAAGCTCACAGCGAAAGACTGTTTATTTGGGGTTTTTTAATCAGCCTTCACAAATCATGTGAGGCTTTCAAAAGCCTCCTCCAAGGCAAAGCTCCTTTTACCATCTCTATGTCCTTATGGGACAAAAGGTAAAATAGAATGGGCTATATTGATACGTACCTGCTTCATGACTCTACGTACAGTCAAATATCCTATTGATTTCAGGTATGCATTCCTAAACAGCTGGAGTGTATATAAATAATCAGCTTGCTGCATCCAAAAGAGAACTGACCTGCTGTGCAATTACTATCTTTAACAGATAAATTGGGGCTTTTAACTTAAGAGATGAGATGGACTCGATATTAGTCTTCAGGATAACCTTAGCAACAAGGTATTCCGCTGCCCAAAAGCCCACATGGAACAAATTTCATCTCTAATAGGATTTCCCTGATTTCTGTAGATTTAAATCAGGAATTAGTTGGCCTCCCAGTGTTTCAAACCAGACAGGAGGTCAGCAGCCCAATGATAAATTGGATAATGTGGTTATGCACGTTAAAATATATACAGAGTTCCAATGCCTTGATGTAATATTTCCTTTTCCATCTACCAAAGTTTGATCTCAAGAAGTCGACAGGTTAATCATCATACTCAGCTCTCAAAGACTGTGTACACAGTCGCTCAGCTCATTGCTCACAAAGAGATATAAAAAAAGTGAAGGCCATACTGTGTATTATATCTAAATTAAAGCCTTTCTCATTGCTTATACCATAGTGAAGCTTCAGTTTTACATCACACTCTCACTTATTTGTAGGGTTTTATCTACTGTTCTGCTGGCAAAACGTTTATTAGACAAATACAACCTTTTATTTCACAAGGAAGAGGAGTGCATTGGTCTAACTTGATTATTCCATCCGGTGCCCATTTAGACTGCTGAAAAGGGGTGATTTTCTGTTCACAGCTCTGGCAGTGGTTATTTTGAAGAGTAGCAAAACAGTCCCTGATGTTGCCCTTCTGGCCTGGAATTGGCATTCTCTCTTTATAAACATGACATTTAAGGCCACACAAAACAGAAATGCTCTGTGTGCTTTGCTCATGCTGCTTAATGCTTTCTCTCCCTCAGGGCCAAGATGAGCTGCAGCCACCTCACCTGGGGAGTTTTGTACTACTTGCAGTGATTTACAAGCTCAAACACAACCACAAGGCCTCTGTTTGTACGTTCTCTATGGGCTGTAAGTGCTTTCTGGAAATAGCTTTAAATGCATCATCACTGTGAGCATTCTTATTGCTCCATGCCAGCGGGATGTAGCATCATTGGAAGTTCAGGCTTGTCGGTTTAAAAGCTTGATTTGAAAAGTCACCAGAAAAATGAAGCAGTTTGTCACACTGGTGCTTCATACACCACTGGACGGTCTTTGTTTTCCACTCGAGGTTCTCATGTTTATAGTGCTGATAATTCAGCCTTCTAAATCTAGCCCAGCAGATCATGAAAGCTATTCAATGAATATTTATTCTTCCCTTTATGAGAGCTTAATCTCCAAACTTCCACAAGCAGTTTCTTAATTTATCTGTGAAAAAACCAAAGTCCTAGGACAGTTTGGAGACTAATTCTGTTTAGAGAAGACGTTGCTGGCAGATTAGTCTGCCTGTGCAACCTGAGCATTGCAATGTCCACATAGCCTATGAGAAGACTTGTCAAATAATGTTAGATTAAATGAAATTAATTAATTGAAGAGCTTTTCTGACTTGTAAATCAGTCACCAAATATCAGGGGTCTCCTTAAAATTTTTTCACAGTTTCCTGATGATTGTTTGGGTTATTTTGAAAGTATTAATAGCTCCTTCTAAGTGGTGGTGTGCATTTTTATAGCATGACAAGTGGGAAGATGGGGGCAAAGAAACCATTATCATTGTCATCATCAAATGCTTTTCAGATCAGGAGATCAGTAACATGCCCATGGATCAGGCTATTTTCAGTCTGTATTTTCTACCTGCTAGCAACTTCTCTTTTTTTTTTTTTTTCTTACCTCTTTTGAATTTCATCAGAATGGAAATGTTATTTTCAGTACTTCACGAAATGAGATGTCAAAATGTGCACCTTTCAGTTTCAAGTGAAGGTAACCTTATGCAGCTGTATGCACGTGTTTATTCCTTCAGAACAAACAGCTATGATTGCTGATGCATGTGATAGTTTAACCCCCGAGTGTAAAACTAGTTTAACTTAGCAGTTAGAGGCTGCTGTAACTTGGGGCTGTTAGTTACAGCATCTTCCTTGCATACACAGTTATTTCTGCTCACTTTGTGTCAGAGAGAGGTGCAATGGGCATGTAACACAGAAACTGGGCTGGTTTTGGGTGCAGAGCCAGATCAGCCACCTCCTGACCGCTGGAAAAAAGCATAAATCACCTCAAAGACACGCTTTGTGTTGTTGAGCAGCATTCCTTTCAATTCAGAGAGCTTCATCTCCTCTAAAACTCACTAGTGTGGATTAGTTGGATCTTAGAGTAAAGCCTTAAGAGCTGCCAGTTAGTATTATTCATACTGGGGATATTCAAAATAATTCATTATATTGCAGAAATGCTTTTTGAAAACTTTCCCTTTTCTTGCCTTTCTGCTGGTATATCTTGTGTTTCTGCCTTTGAATTTACAGGTATGCCCTATGTCATTCCACCTGCTGCATGAATTCCCTACAGCTACAAGCTTATGGTTGGTATTGAGATGGGCTTTCCTTCTTCTCTATTCCTCTTCTAGCTCTATTTCCAGACTGACTTTCTTTCTGGAAAATGGACTTGTGCTGTTGGATACCTAATCCCCTGTTTGTAAGTGAGTCTTAATTATCTACTTCTTTCCTGTTTGCTTTTTGAAATAGGTATAATAAAACCAATAACCTCTCCAGTATGTGTCTGGACTTCAGTACATGATGCTCATGACTGTTTTGTCATCTACACAAAGGGTGAGAAATGTTTTCTGTACAAATACTGTGTTTTTTTTTCTCGCATATGTTAGATGTTTACTGAGGCTGTAATTCTGCTCCTGGTGCAGTGTCTGTCGGGTATCACCTAGTGCCCCATCTGGCACATGCCGAGTCAGATTGTTGATCCACGGACTTCCAGCCAGTTTAGCTGTGAAAGAGCAGACGTGCAAACAGGTAAAGCTCTTTCTCACCCCAGAACTGGTGTGGGGTGGTCAGGGTAGCAATGTTATTCAGTCTGTCTGCGGCAGTAAAGAGCTGAGCAAGATTCAGAGGGCTTCAAATTCTTAACAAAAACTTCCCAAACGATAATTTTCCATTGGAAAATGTCCCCATGGCATGTCAGGAGAGCTGCAACAGGGGACTCTGGGAGTGATTGCTGGTGGCTGCCCATGAGGTGTTGTGAGCAATTTCTGCAAAATGAAGTCAGCTTTTAGAGAACAAATACTCTATTTACCAAAAATCTCTTCTGCTATGGAAATGGTCTTTGCTGAGTACTTGCAGTCTATTCCCTCCCACTGCTGTTGGCATTCCCAGCTTGCACTGATACTGGGAGCCTTCACCAGGGTGAGCTGAAAGCTGACAACCCTTTTCCCACACTCAGTGGAGACTTTGTTGGGGCCTCTCTGGCCTCTGAAATGCAATGTCTGCAGAGATGAGGAGTGTCAGTGAGTTTTATTCCCAGAGAGGAGGAGTAATTTTGCATCCATGCTCTGTTGTTTGCATCCACATGCGCGCACAAGAGCCTTTTCTAGCAGGACATATTGACATGGATGTGCTAATGTGTTATGATATTGGTAACTGACTGCAATGAGTGACTGCTCTGTGGTTTTAGTAAATGATTGTGATGGCAGATGACTGCAGGAGAGCTAGTAATGCTGTAACATCACACAACTTATTATCAACCCTTCTCCAGGGACTTGACGTGAGCGGTTCCAAGCCAGGACAAAGCTGCTGTTCGTTCTTCTTCTGACAGTGTAAATTTAACTGTTAAGAGATTTCGCTAGCATTAAAGGAACTAGGGAAATACACAGATGTCCTCTCTCCTGAATGCTTCTGCAGGGAGGATGGCAGACTGTGATCTCCCCTTCAGAGAAGGTGTTGGTGCAGGTAGAGCTGGATCTTGACAGAGGGTTAGAGTTGTCATAATGCTAATCTTCATTTGGCTAGAAAAAGTTATATTTTTTCAGTGAAAATTACATCCCCCTTCTGACTAAACCTCCACCCCAAAAAAGAGAATGCATTAGGGTTTTTAAATTTATAGGTAACATGTGTTGATTGTAAGGAAGAAACTTAAATTTATCCTAAAGCACAGATTTCCCCTCCACCAGATGAAATTCAAGCAATTCACTGCAATCAACACCTCCATTATCTCCTCCTCACAGATTGCTCATGGCTGCTCTCCCCCGAGCATTACCTGGGTACCTTTAGCAGCCACGGCTGGTGTCTGATATCTCTCCTCTTTTCTGGAGGAATTGCTTGGCAGTTGCGCACAGTGTTGGCTTTGAAGGCTTTTTGCTGGGTTTTTTTTTGCTTGAGTAAGGAATTGAAATAATTACAAGCTCTCAATAAGAGCAGCTTGCAAAGCCAGGCTTCAGTGGAATACGTTTTTCTTTTGAAGTTAAAAGCATGTAAAGGAATTGATGTTGTCTAATAGTATGTTAGAGGAAAACTTCTCTATTTTAATTTGGTAAAGAAAAGCAAGCAATGGAAAAGCAAACAGAACACAGTCATCGCTGCAGAGGATTTTGACATATTGCAGAATTCGCTTTGCTCCCTTGATACTCTGCTGGCTTTGGATCACTTCGTATTAATGACCCTTTTTTTCTCTAGCCAGTGACAAGGTTACTTTCCCTCTCAATGTAATTCTACCAGTTAGCATCTGTTTGTTTTTGTTGGCTTACATTAGTTTAGTTTTTATAACATTGTCTTTACCTTATGGCAGAAATTTTAGCCATTTGCTTTTTAGTTTGAGCAGAATACGGGAGCAATAAATGTCTAGAGGAAGGACCGTGAATTTCTTGTGAAGGTTTCCAGATTTGCAGGGTGTTTGCTAAGTGCTTTTGGAATCATTTCAGTATCAATGCCTATGACAGGCTCTGTTTATTTTTAAAAGAAGACATGCAATGAATTGCTTAGTTTCTGGGAGATGGCAAAATTGTCCCTTAATTCTTAGCAGTGAAGTGATGAGTTGTTGATATCAGCACTTAGGCCTACAGATGCCACGTGTGAAAGAGGTGCCTAATGAGAAGTGGTCCTTGCAGCCTAAGCTCACTCCAGGCAGCTAATTTCTGTAGTAAAGAGAGATGGCTCAGTCCTAGAACTTTGCAGTGGTGGGACAGCAGGGTAAGCGAAAGGCGGTATCTGTAGTAAGAGGGTCCTGGGAGTTGCTGCTGATAGTGGTATCCCCAGATCCCTGAACAAGCAATCAGGAATCTGAAATTCCAGTCTTGGACTCGGTGCAGGAGGGATGTTTGCTAATAAGCAACACAAAACAGAGAAAGGAAAGCAGTTTTCTGGCAGTGTTGAAGTGCTGCAGCAAGAGGCAGGGCCTTTGTCAGTGTGCTTTTGCTTTGCCATCGCTTTGTGGAGACATTTTAGCTTTGTTACCAGCTGTGTTTGCTGCAATCTGTGCTTCTGTTGCAAGTGACACTTTCTAAGCAAGTGTCATGAGCCTGGAGCTCCAGCACAGCACAGGAAGTTGTGGTTCAGTGAATGGAGACCTGGAATAGTGTTTTCCACCCCTTGGACAGAGCAAGCCTTACAATGGCTTGGAAGCCAGTTATCTTCTGCAAATGTTGTGTTCATTCTGTAAGTCTTCCTCTTGCATCTTTTTTGGCTGTTAGAGTAGAGCAGCAGCAGCAGTGCCACAGAACAAACACAGGCACAGGCGAAACGAGTGGCAAAGCCCATATTTACCATCTGTGGTGTCTGCTGATGTCTAGTGCTCCTGCAGTCCCTTGAGCAAATGAAATGAAAGCCATTATCAGCAAGACTTGGCTGTCAGTCTGTGCACCACTGCACCTTGGGAGCTAAAGAAAGCAGGCAGTGCTGCCTTTGGGGGCATCTTTGCCATAACTGCCTTTCTTAACTGTTCATGGAAGATCCAGAGCATAGGATGGAAGAATATTTCTATTACTACACCAGTTTCTTAGACACGAGGATGGAAGTACAGGGCCAAAAATGTGGTCTGAGCCCTTGGATGAGTTATGGGGGCAGATTTGTCCTTCTCTTCATGGAGTCAGAGTGCTGATGGCTTCAGAGGCACAAGTCCAGGGAGATGAAACATCCATTATTTCCTCTGTGGATGGGAAAATTACTTCTCTGTGGCATTTCTTTGCTAGTCTGGCACGTGAGGCTGGAAACTTGATTTCTTGTTAACCAAGTTACCAGGAGTGACTGACAGCATTTACCAGGTTTTCAATATCTGCAAGTATTGCCTACCAGTTTAGAGCAAAGAGACTTGTCTGGAGGCTTTTCCTCTGTCCTCAGAAAGGGCAGGTCTCTTCCAGCTCTTCTGAATGTCTATCTTGATCATGTCAGTCTGTGTTGTAAAGTCTGGAAGTGCCCTGTTGTACAGCAGCACTTTGGGAGAGAAGGATGGTGAGGAAGCACTGGGTGCTGCTCCGTCTCTGCTGGGCCCTACCACATCATCCCAGAGCATGGGAGCTGTTGATTAAATCAAAGCTCAGGGGGAGCTGCCAGCAAATGTGAATTACTTCAAGGCAGTACCAAGAGAGGGCTGTGTATCACACATCACTGAATGTTTGGTCACACTCACATGAATTCATACTTTTGGGAGGTGGTTGCTGTTGCTGCAGTCCGCAGAACAGCCAATGATTCTACCTTGGGATCCTGACTGCTGTCGGGAAGTTCAGTGTTTGCAAACTGAGAGTGTTTATTAAACCCCAGCACAGGAAGTCTTACAGTGTGTGTAAACCACATATGGTCCCTGGCTCCCCAGAATTCCTTTATTACAATTGTGAACAGGTAGCATTAGTTGTGGGAAAAACAGTTTTTATAGTTTTCAGGCAGTTCTTTCTGGTTCTCAACTGATGAGAAAATTCAGACCAGAGTGAGATATTTATATATATATATATGTATAAAATACATATATAATGTCAGCATGTGTATAGTGTTTAGTTCTGTTTAGTCCAAGCTGACATCAGAAACATACTGATTCATCCCTGGAAACTGAAACTTAATGATTAATTATTAGTGTTAATATCAGCCTTTCTTTCTGCAACACCATCACTGTTAGGATGTTTTCACTGCTCTCCACTTTAGCCCACCAAAGCCCCCAGATCTGTTTTTGCACTAGTGCTATACAGTGTGATCCCATTTTGTGTTTCACATTTCGTTTGGCCACACTCCATGCAACACTTTGTCCTTGCTGATTTTGGACAATTTCTGTCTTTGAGCATGGGTATTGAGCCATCTCCTAAACCTTGTGTTGTCTGAAGTAATTTTCATTACTTGAGCTTATAAGCTGTCAAATGATTTCAGGACTGAATCACTTCTATAGTGAAGAGGATCATTTTCGTGATCAATGTAACTTGAATTCCCAAGAAAAGAAAAAGCAGTACAGGCAATAATTACTTACTGGCAGAGTTGTCACGGATCCAGAGGACCAGCTGCTTTCACTGGTGCTGGGTTATGAATGTGCCTTTCGTGTGGGGAAAGTGGACAAATGTTGGTAGTTGTGGGTCCAACTAGAAAGCGCACATCTGTGCTGAGCACAGGCCAGTGTCTCGTGAAGGCAAACCACTTGATGGCCTTTACTTCAGCACCCTTGTTCTCCAGTGGAATAAGAAGTACCAGCCTGAGCCAAACACTTTGGGGCTTTTTTGTGTCTTCCTTGCAGTCAGTTTGTGCAGGTTTTGGGAGTTTTTTGAGTGTTTTGCTGAACTGGGATGAGCATAGGCATACAGTTACACTTTAAAATATTCTCAAAACATTGCTGAATCATTGGGAAGTACAAACTACACGTGAAGGACAAAGTTCTGGATGGAAGGGGTGCGGGAGGGGTAGGAAACAGCTGTGGCGGGGTTTTCAAGCAAAGCGCAGCAGGGTCAGGCATCCGTATTTCATAGACTGATAGAATGTTCTGAGTTGGGAGGGACCTTTAAGATCATCTCGTTCAACAATCTCAGCCTAGATAAAATGCAGTAAGGAAACCACTGGTGAAATCAGAGCTGCTCTGGTAGCTCTTCCTCTCATTACTGCCCACGTTTTCCTTGTTTTCTGATCTTCAGAAGGGAACATAGTTTGGGATGACACAGCTTGAAAAGTTGTCAGTTTTCCTGAATTGTGGAAATATGTCATGATCTGAAAGGTGCTCCAGTTTACCTGAAGAAGGACTGTGCTGGGGAATGACCTTCCCTGCTGCTTGGTCCTTACAGACCCTCATGGGATGAGACATGGCAATGTTCTAATCCTTTAGCAAATCTGTGTAGACACTACCCTGTGCTCCTCACCCATTTCAGGATCCTCCCTGAGACGCTTCCAAGGTTGCTGTCTGTATGTGCTGGTTTCTGATAGACTGAATAGGCCCTAAGGGTGCTCTGTCTCTGTCTAGTACTGAAATGTCATCTTTTTAGGTGACTTCTATTCTCCATCCCCCCTGCAATCGCCCCACCCCAATACAATTGAGTTCCCCCCAAAAATGTGTCACAAAAGCCATTTTTCATCCTTTATTTCTCATCTTTTCACACCTATTTATTTTTCTAGCTGCAACAATAATTGATATCACAGAATGAACAGGACAGGCAACCAGAAAGGGGAATAAATGGAATGTGGCTGAAGATGCTTCCTTCTGGTCAATTGTGTCAGAACTGGTTGGCATTCCAAACACCCAGGCAGAAGCAACACAAGTTCAATCACAAGAAGACCCCTGAACCAGTGAGTTCAGTTCAAATATTCAGACTGTACCTCTAATATTTCAGATTCACAGAAGAAAATGAATTAATGTTCTCCTCTTCATCAGTGGGTATCAGCAGTAATTGTATCCAAGTCAATAATCTCAGTTCTCTTTCTCTTTTATGTCACAGAAAGTGGAAGGCTTTCCCATTTGAATGAGGTCCTTTCTGCAGCCTGGATCAAGAGCAGTCAGCACCCACTGCAGGGGAGCTGCCACTGGTTTAAACTGGTGACACAAAGGGCTGAATTCAGTTTCCTGCTGATGTCAGACATTCAGACATGCTGCAAGTTGTCTGTCTCCTTCAAAACAGTTGCCTATCTCCTTCTTGTCATTGTTGTCAGAAAGGGCTGCTTACAGAGCATGAACTTCACAAGATAAATAAACTCTGCCAGGCATAAATCATTTAGGACTTCACAGCACATTTCACTGGAGCCCGTCACTATCACTGCAGGGCTGTTCTAAATCCTCCATTACCAAATCTTGCTGGTTATTCACCCAATTTCCTTTCTTGACTGTCTTCCCCGCCTCCTCCTCTGCATTTTGACAAGCTTGATCCTGGGGCGTTTGGTCATTGGCAGCTGGCAGAACGGCATTGCCTTGGCCTTGCTGAGAGTAGAGCTCCCCATGATCCATTTCCTTGGAGCAGAGCTGGAGTTTGGAGGCTGCCTGAAAGCCTCGGCGGAAGTTTTCATTAAAGAACCCGTAGATGATGGGGTTGACACTGCTGTTGAAAAAGGCCAACCAGTGAGCAAAGGGGTAGATGTAAATGTTGATGATCTGCAGCTGCATGTCGGAAAGGTTGGCATAGTCTGTGAGCATCATCAGAGTCCACAGGGGAAGCCAGGACACGGCGAAGAGCAGAGCCACAATAATGAGCATTTTGATGACTTTTTGTTTCTTCTTGGATCTGCTCTGCTGCTGCTCCTGGTTGTCTTTGCCCCCCACGGGCACTGCTGTGTTGCAGAGAGCCATGCATATCTTGGCATACATGAGAACAAGGAGCGACAGGGGAGCCAGGTAGATGCTGGCAAACAGAACTGTCGTATAGATCTTTCTCATTCCTGGGTCAGGCCAGTCCTCCCGGCACCAGTACACAGGGCGGGTTTCATTGCCATAGCCAAGGATGACCCTGAAACGCTTCTCTTCTTGTACCTGTAGCATGACCACAGAAGGACACATAATAGCAACGGCCAGAATCCAGATGAACACAATACTGGCAACTGCAGCTGCTCTGGTCAGCTTCTGCTTGAATGGGTCTACGATGCGCCGGAACCTGCAGCAAAGGTAGACATGGAAAAGCCATTTAAGGAATGCTGAGTCTTAACAGGCAAGCCTACACATGCACTGAAATTGTATGGCTTCTAAAAACATAGATGGAATAATCTCCTCATCCTGCATGAACCAGTGGAATTGCGCTGAGTTGCTCTGTTCAAGAGCTGTGTGGTAAAGACAATATTAAAAAAAGGGCATATTTACTATTAAAATTTCCTCATTTTAATCTCCATATCATAGAATCACAGAATGGTTTGGGTTGGAAGGGACTGTAAAGATCATCCAGTTCCAACCCCCCCGCTGCGGGCAGGGATGCCTCTGCTAGTCCATGTTGCCCAAGCCCCTGTCCAACCTGGCCTTGAACACTGCAGGGATGGAGCATTCACCACTTCTTTGGGCAACCTGTTCCAGTGCCTCACCACCCTCACAGTAAAGAACTTCTTCCTTGTATCTAACCTGAACTTCCACTGTTTAAGTTTAAACCCATTACCCCTTGTCCTGTCATTACAGTCCCTGATGAATAGTCCCTGTCCAGCACCTTTGGAGGGCCCCTTCAGATATGGACAGCTGCTATGTATCAGCCTCCTGCTACTGCTACTTCACTGAACCAAAGCAGGTACTAGTGCCTCTTCTATATATCTTCATAGCTAAGGAACAGTCTAATTCTAGGCACACAGGCATAGCCCATATCTAGCGTCTTTAAGAGATACCAGGGGAGGAGCAAATTGCCATGGCTGCTCTTTAGGCCCAGCCACGTTTTGATTTGCTTAATAGCCTTAGCAGTAAAATATATCCAGTTCATTGCATTCTTGTATGGATTAATGAATCAGCCTTAGCCTGGTCAAGTGGCCAGAGGGAGATGGAAGGGGCAGTTTGCAGTCTCTCCACCATCTTACCTGTCTACAGCAATTGCAACTAGAGTGAAGACAGAGGCAGAAACAGAGATTCCTTGGACCATCCCGCTCATCTTGCAAATCATGTTCCCAAATGGCCATCCTGGAAGGAAACAGGCAATTGAAATTTCCACCAGCTCACTGCAGCATTATGCTTATACAAGTAACAGGAAATTTCCACCCCAGTGCTAAGAAGTTTCTTTGGGTTTGTGTCAGACCATAGCAAGGGTCAGGGAAGCAGAGGTTTTGTAAACAAACGCTTTGCCAAACGCCTTTGAGGGAGTTTTTAATGTTCCAAAAACCAGCAAAGCAACATTTCATAGAGTCATAGAATCCCAGGTTGGAAGGGACCTCAAGGATCATCTGGTCCAACTTTTCTAGGCAAGCATGACGTAGACTAGATGTCCCAGCACCCTGTGCAGCCAAATCTTAGAAGTGTCCAGTGCTGGGGAATCCACCACTACCCCAGTGGATTTTCACTATGAGAACAATGGCTGTTCCCATTGTGAAAAATTTTCCTCATGTCCAGAAACATCCCATTTAACATCCCATTAAAAGGAGATCTCACAACAAGAAAGAGAACTGACCAGCACATTTGGTTGTTCCTGCATCTGGCTCATAGCACCCTCTTTCTAAACATGTAATCTGGCAGTGGGAGAATCCCTTCTGAAGGACGAGGGATGTGGAAGTCAGTGAAGACATCCCCAGTCAGGAGGTGGGTTAGATGCTTGTCTTTCTCATCTCTGACTTCCACTGATTTGAACCTGGCCTGGCAGTGCTCAAGGCCAGGCTGGACGGGGCTTGGAGCAACCTGGTCTAGTGGAAGGTGTCCCTGCCCATGGCAGGGGGTTGGAACTGGATGAGCTGTAAGGTCCCTTCCAACCCGTTCTGTGAACTTTCTTCATAGCCCACTCAGAAACATGCACCCGGCTCTCAGGATCTCAAGGTGAGCCGCCGCTTGAGGTCTTTCCGCCACGGGGTGTGAACCAGCCTACCTGCAATAATGTTGTCCAGGAGCGTGGTAGGCATGCAGAAGATTCCCACCAGCAAATCGCTGACAGCCAGGTTTAAGATGAAAATGTTTGTAACTGTACGCATACGTTTGCTCTTCAGCACAATAAAACAAACCACTCCGTTGCCAACCATACAGAGCAGGAAGATCAGAAGGTAAGAAATGATGAAGACAGCTGCCACTAAAGGCTGATGAAGGTAGAAGTCTACGTAGGAGACATTGCCTTCTAAGTAGAGGTACTTGTAAGTCCCATTATAATTCAGCGTGTGAGGCCATTCGAACGGAGAGTTTGAGTCCATTTTCTTGCTCGTGTTTTAATGTGCTTTAAAAGACATTTTAAAGAGGTCATTTTAGTGTGCTCAAAATTGAGCTGAAGAAATATGACTAGTTTGGACATACTGTGTGCTGGAAAACATGCAGAGCTTGCGTAGACTCATCCCTTTGTGGCTTTTTAATAGGCCATTTTCTGAGCCTCCCTGGATAGGAGAAACAGTGACTAAATGAAATCTTTGTAAAGTGGCTCAAACCTGCTGCCTGAATGCACCCAAATGCAGTCCCCTTTGATTGAAAATGAAATATTTGTATGTACAGTTGGTATGAGACCACAGTTGATCTCAGTGCCCTGCCCACAAGCTGCATAGATCAGGAGATGACTCCGCAAACACCAAGGACCACGCTGTGTTTAAAACACAGTGGGGTACAGGGTGTCTGGATTCATTTCCTGGCTCTGCTACTGAATTCCCATGGGATACTGGGAGAATGGTAATTTCCCCATGTTGCATTTTTCCTGCTATGAAATGTGAGTAATACTTTTCCCACAAGGTTTATCTACACTGTCAAGTAAGTTCATGTATTTTATATTTCATTAGATGACTGTTGTGAAACACTACAAGGCTTTTCTAGGAAAGACTTGAAAAAGTCTGAACTTTCTTGATACTGAATCATCTGGGCTGGTGTGATGGCTTGAACATAAGGGATGTGACACTTCTTGTTTGCCTGCAGCTGAAAGAATCCATTTAAGGCAGGTACAGAATTTGTATGCCCCACACAGAGTTACTTCCAAATTTAACTGTTTGAGATTAACTTCATAGACCACAATTTGTTTTCTTGTCCTGAAGAAACATCTGGTTACACCAGACGCTGCACCAAAGTTCTACATCAAATCTTCACGTGGCAAAATTCCAACATATGTATTATACAACTCACATAGAGATGGTATCAGTCTACGTAACAGGCCAGCATGGGCATCCGGACATTTACAGCTGATACCAGATAACTTGACTTGGAAACAGCATTCAAAAGGTTTTCCCACATTTATTCATTTTACCTACCAGATGGAGATGCCCAAAGAGGCAGGGGGATGGAGGAGTTCTAACTTAAAAGAACAGCAAAATTAATTAGTAGCAGAAGGCATAAGATTAATGTATGGATGAAGGTACATTTAGGACACGTAGAAATTTCTTAGAATAAATGGGATTTAAATTAAAGTACAAGTATCCAAATCCTGATGAGCTTGTATGTGAGGGAAGGGAATTGCTGGCTACATCTGTTTTCTTATGAAAAGGAAGGTGGAGCAGGCCCTGCTTTGTGCTGCTCAGTTTTCAACTGCCCCCCAGGTACCTGATGACCCGGTGTGTGCTGTTTTTTCCCTATCTGTGGAGTAATGATGGAAGGTGACATTCTGTTGTCACTCTGTGTAGGGCAGCCCTCTCCCCAGGAAAAGAAAATGAGTGTTAGGTGCCAGTGATTGAGAATATTTCTATTCCAATGTATTAAGTGCCAAACGCTTTAAATAGCCGAAGATCAGAGTGAGCTGCGAGCAGCTACCATTCACTTTGCATACACACACGATGAAGAGTATCGGCAGAATTCACAGGTAGATGTTTGACATTAGTAGCTTACTCTGTTTCTTTAATCACAGCCCTGGATCTGCTTTATCAGTCCCAGGAGATGCTGTGTCACTCAAACTCCATTTGAAACTCAGCATCTCTCTGACAGAGCAACCGATCCCAAGAATCTGGATAGTGAGACCCTCTGCCCCTTCTCAGCCTCTAACAAAACTAAATGTGTATTTGCTTCTTTTGTTTTGGCTTCTCTGAGCTTCCACCTAAGTTCATGTTCTCAATGTTTGTCTGCAAATAAAACACCCATAAATGCATTCAATCTTACTATTTATTATTGTAAATGAATACTAATGTTCTTCTGTAATCCTTTGCTTCCCAGGGGTGGTGCTTGAAGAAGGACACTCCAGCAGATGAGACAGAGGTGGCTTTTTCCTTCCTTGCCTTCTGTAGATTGGTTTTTTGAGGGCTTTGAGCCCAAGAGCCCAAACCCTTGTGGGTCAGTCTGTGCAATGGCAGTTCTCTAGCAAATTAATTGCAGTTCTGTTCTTTAAGACAACTGAAATGATGCCTTAACACACTAAAAGCAGGATCAATCATTTTAAAAATTGCTTTTTGGATACAGCTGTTGGATTTTCTCTCTTTGTGTACCAATGTATTGGAAAGCAGCAGCTTTCAATCTCTTCAGTAATGAACTCTGGACTAGTTCTTGTTCCTAACTGATAAACAAGGAGCTGTAAACAGCCTCAGAGCAAATCAGGAGCTGTGTCTGTTTGTCTTATGTGGTCTGACCCCAGTTGCATTAATGAAATCTAGTGTTGCTGTAGGAAACACAGTGAATTTGCTGTATGAATACCACAGCTTACAAGGAATGGAAAAGGTATCTGTATTTTTTTTATATTGAAGCTGAGGGGGGAAAAGATTGGCTGGAAGGAGAAATGAAAGCAGTGCCTTGTGTTTTCCCAATGTATGTGCCAGCTAACGCAGGGATAAATAATCGAGAGAGGAACAGAAGACAGAACCAGAAGTCATCTAAGACGGGACAAAATAATGCAATGCATAAATAAAACGAGATGATGAAGAAAAGTAATTTGCAGATTTTCCTCTGGTACATTAAATGAAGTGGGGAGGCCATGCCCTTATCAAATTGCCATGTGGAAGCAAAGTAGTAAAGCAAGAGCCTGCACTAGTGAAAAGCTGCCCAGTCCCACATGCTGAGATTTTAAACAGGAGGCTGATACACTGGTGAAATCTCAGTAACAGCACCCAGATACAAATAGCCAATACAAAAATAAAATAAATAGCAAATAAAAAACAGACCAGGGAGAAGGTAGGCCCCCTCAGGAAGCTCTTGGGAGAACCGGCTACACAGGATTTGGAGAAGGCTGAGGTTCTGAGTGACTTCTTTACCTTGATCGTCAGTGGCAAAGGCTCTGACCACACCACCCAAGTCTTGGAAGGCAGATGCAGGGACTGTGAGAATGAAGACCTTGGGCCCACTGTAGGAGAGGAACTGGTTCGAGACCATCTTAAAAGTCTGAATGTGCACAAATCCATAGGACCTGATGAAATCCATCCGCGGGTCCTGAAGGAACTGGAGAATGAAGTTGCTAAGCCGCCAGCCATCGTATTTGAGAAATCATGGCAGTCAGGTGAAGTTCCCAACGACTGGATAAAGGGAAATATAACCCCCATTTTCAAGAAGGGGAAAATGGATGACCCGGGGAATTACAGACCAGTCAGTCTCACCTCTGTGCCTGGCAAAATCTTGGAGCAGATTCTCCTGGAAGGCATGCTAAGGCACATGAAAAACAACAAGGTGTTTGGTGACAGCCAGCATGGCTTCACTAAGGGGAAATCCTGCCTGACCAATTTGGTGGCCTTCTATGATGGGGCTACAGAACTGATGGACAGCGGTAAAGCAGTTGATGTCATCTACCTGGATTTGTGTAAAGCGTTCGACACTGTCCCACACGACATCCTTGTCTCTAAATTGGAGAGACATCAATTTGATGAATAGACCACTCGGTGGATTAAGAACTGGCTGGATGGCCACACACAAAAAGTGGTGGTCAATGGCTCAATGTCCAGCTGGAGACCAGTAATGAGTGGTGTCCCTCAGGGATCGGTGTTGGGACTGGTCTTGTTCAACATCTTCATCACTGACATGGACAGTGGGATTGAGTGTGCCCTCAGCAAGTTTGCCGATGACACCAAGCTGTGTGGTTCGGTTGATACGCTGGAGGGAAGGAATGCCATCCAGAGGGACCTTGACATGCTTGTGAGCTGGGCTGATGCCAACCTCATGAAGTTTAACCATGCCAAGTGCAAGGTCCTACACCTGGGTCGGAGCAATCCCAGGCACAGCTACAGGCTGGGCAGAGAAGAGATTCAGAGCAGCCCAGAGGAGAAGGACTTGGGGGTGCTGGTCGATGAGAAAATGAACATGAGCCGGCTTCAGTGTGCGCTTGCAGCCCAGAAAGCAACCGTATCCTGGGCTGCATCAAAAGGAGCGTGACCAGCAGGTCGAAGGAGGTGATCCTGCCCCTTTACTCTGCTCTTGTGAGACCTCACCTGGAGTATTGTGTGCAGTTCTGGTGTCCTCAACATAAAAAGGACATGGAACTGTTGGAACAAGTCCAGAGGAGGGCCACGAGAATGATTAGGGGACTGGAGCACCTCCCGTATGAAGACAGTCTGAGAAAGTTGGGACTGTTCAGCCTGGAGAAGAGAAGGCTGCGTGGAGACCTCATAGCAGCCTTCCAGTATCTGAAGGGGCCTATAGAGATGCTGGGGAGGGACTCTTCATTAGGGACTGTAGTGATAGGACAAGGGGTAATGGGTTAAAACTTAGGGGAAGTTTAGATTGGATATAAGGAGGAAATTCTTTCCTTTTAGGGTGGTGAGGCACTGGAATGGGCTGCCCAGGGAGGTTGTGAATGCTCCATCCCTGGCAGTGTTCAAGGCCAGGTTGGATGAGGCCTCGGGTGATACGGTTCAGAAAGAGGTGTCCCTGCCCATGGCAGGGCTTTGGAACTTGGTGATCTTAAGGTCCTTTCCAACCCTAACTATTCTGTGATTATATAAAGCCTCACAGTGTGACCAGGAAAATTCCATGCCACTGGGTATGGAAAATCAGGTTTTTATTCAGCAAAAACAGTTCAAGGTAATTATGAAGTGAATGCAATTATTCTTAAGTTGGCCACATGGAAGAAATCCAGTAACCACTGGAGCCAGGTTCATCTGTTGTTACAACCAACCATCTGTTTTTATCTTGATTTTTGTGTGTCTGAAATCTCATCACAGAATCCTTTAGAAGCTGAAACAGAGACAAGGAACCTTCAGAGACATGAAGAACAGAAGTATGTTGTTGCAGGAAAAGAAAATTCAGTGTGCTTAGCGCTAAAAATACATTTTCTTTTCTTGCCCTGAGCTCTGTGCTCAGTAATGGGTCAGTTACAGCCATTTCCTGGAGACCCTGGAAAATGTTCTCTGGTCTGCTGAAACACCAGAAAATCCTGCTGCTGAGGGATGGCAAAAATAGCACAACCTCATTCTGTAAGTGTCTTAGAGAGTCAGAGGAGACCAATGAATGGACTGCCCAACGCCTCAGTGGATCAGAAGATGCTATTGACCAAAACAAGCTAATTATTCTTGCCTAAAAAAACCAAATATGTAAAAAGCTCAACTGTGACCATTCCCACCTGTGTGAAGTGCTATTAGCAGCTATTTCTATAATTAAGTAGGGCATATAAAGTAGTAGGAGACCAGAAAGCTGTCACAAGTGATCTCTGTCTTAAATGTAATGCTTTCGGAGGAAGCAATAGCTTGTCATAGATGTGATTTCTTGTTTAACTTGATACAGATTTCAATCAAGTATGGAAAGCCTGTAAGAAAGAGCAGAGGGCTCAAAAGTGTGACCTACAGGAAAGTACTGTAAGATAAGGGGTCTTTTAATCCAAAAGGTAACATGTGGCAATATGTTCTCCCATTTTGCTGTATATTTTTGAAATACTTTATCATAACATCACACATTCTATAGGTTGGACATGAAGGATGGATGTCTGCAGTTCAGTGCAAGTGGGGCTCGTCTTTGCTTTCTCTTCCAGACAAGAAGTGAGACTTCAGTGTCAGCCAAACACCAGGATCCAGGCTGAGGCTCAAGTAAATGATGTTCATAGACTGTCACTAACACACTTCAGAACCTGGGCTCAACAAGATACAGGCCACAGGCCAGACAGCCTTTTCCCCAGGTCTGGATGGCATGAGAATACCACTGACTGCTTGGAAATTGCTTTAAGGTACTTTTTAACTTCATTTTGCACTTAATGTCAGCTTCCCACCTATGCAGAAGTTCTCAGGCTGTAGAATACAAGCCTTAACCTGTAAAGTACAAACTGAGGATACTTATGAATTAAGGTAGTAGAGCTTTATTTTATTCACTTTTTCATACAAAATACAATGGAAATTCTGATATATGAAATACCTTGCAGTGTCTAATCCCAAAATAGTATACTTCTGGCTAGGAAAAAAGAGCTGTGAATGAAAAGTCACACTAAAACTGTAAGTTGCCATAAAAATACATTTTCTTACTGACATCAACTTCCATGAGGAAAACCAAGTATCCAGTGAGAATGAAATGTCTCATTTTTAACTGGGCAATGCCAGGGAGAGGCACCACTCTTAGGCACACACAGAGCTCTTGTGAATAGACTTCAACTGTGTCTCCTCCCCTAATAGCCATTTATCTGGGGAGTCTCATCCGGGCCCAAAGAAAGGGTTTTGTCAAGGTATTATTTTTTTTAAATACCTTGAACTTTTCCTATCTTGTCTAGAGCCCCAAGCCCTACCCCCAGCACAATGGTAGTGGTAATATTGCTATAATAAATAAACCAAGACTTCGTTGCCGATTGCTCACCCACTTGAGCTAAAGAACCTGAAAAAATTCATCCAAAAGCCAAATCTCAAATGTAAATGCCTCCCCTGACATCTTCTGATTTACAACAAGTGTATGTTTCTCTAGAAGACAGATTTTTTTCCACCCTCCTTCATTTTTCTGGCATTCAAATAATGACACAGTTTTCATGTCCAACATTGATTTTTATCACCACGCTCAAGGTGAGTAAAGCTGAAAATGTTCCATAGCAAACCTTTGCTCTAGCTGAAGATTTTCTGCCATTTGCTATTAGTTGACCTTAAGCTGCTAGTGTATGAATTCTATCCTTTCAAACACTGAATCATAGAATCATCTAAGTCCACTACTAAACCAGGTCTTTCAGTGCCACATCTGCATGTGTTTTAAATACCTCCAGGGTTGGTGGCTCTACCACTGCCTTACACAACTGCACAACAAAAGGGGTTTGTTTTTAAAGGGGATGTGGATGCTAATTTTCTGGAATTAACCCTTTCCAGAAGTCCCACTCATGCAACACCATTGCTTAATCATTTCCATGAGGTCCTCACTTCCACTCTATATATATGAATGGCAGGAAAAATTATACGGGTTTGAAAAATTATTTAATAAGCTTAGAATGTCTGAATTGTTGACAAATTAGAGCTTGCTCCCCTATTGCTTATCATTATGCTCCTATTTTTTTTTGCTTATTCAGTCTTTAAGCTTCTGAATTTACAGTTTTTCTAGTTGCATCATCACAGACTGCTTTGAATTTTGACTCAAACCTCAGCCAACTGTTCCCTGAAATCAGGTTAAAGTGAGATTTCCACACAGAGGCACACTTCCCAGCCATGTCATTAAGAAGCCTGGCAAGTCATAAGAGTTTAGCTCCCTTAGACATGGAAATGGCTTTTTGTCATTGTCACAAGAATTCCCTCAAGACTACTCACAACCCAAACATCATAATTTTGCATCTTAGTGGTTTTACTGCAACCAGAATCTAAGGAGTCTTTTTAGTCTTATACTCCTGGCTACCAGCAGAGCAAGAAATAAGAACGGTACTACCACTAATAGCAGCAACACAAGGGAAAATAATCCTAAAGCACTCAGCTGAGTAGGGAACAGTGAAATTACATACACACTCCAGTGAGCACTTAGTGCTAAGTGGTGTGGATTAAGCCCTAGGAACAGCTGAATGATCACTGCTGAGCTTTTTTCAGCACTGAAGTCCTCACAAATGGGAGATGAGCCTCCTCGGTTGCCACCTTCCAGCACAAGAGCTGATTTTTATCATCCCCAGTCCTTCAGTATTGGCTGGATGGTAGGCACGAAGCTGATTCATCTAATTTTACAGGCAGATTTAGGCTCTGCACATGAGCCAGTCCCTGGCAGAGCACACCAGTCGAGAAAACAGCTATGTCATTTGGAGTACTGAAAGCAAACCAAATAATTGGAGAAGCAGGCAGAAGGTGGAAACAAGTGTAATCATAGTTTAGGCAGAAGCTGCAAAGTGGGACAACCATCCCACGGGAAGTACCTACAGAAGCTCCCATTCTGTGATGTGGGAAGATGCTGTTGATCCTAATAATGAAGTAAGGGTCCTAAGTAAATAATTACTCAACTTGCCCTGCTGTCAGCTACTCCAGGAGCCAGGATCACCATACAAGCCAACCCCAGACAGAGCTGGGAGCAGTGCAAGTCATTCAGGTCCCATTTGCTCAGGCTGTCAGAGCACGCCTCGGATCAAACACATCTGAAACATGACTTGGGCAGCAACACTAAAAGAAGAACAAAACATGGCTATTAAGGATATAGAAAGGGTTTCATCTCCATAATGCCATCTCTCTAGGAAGAGCTAGTAGTTTGTAGGAGGACTGTAGAATTACAGAATGAACTTCTCCCATACCTTCCTGCTTTCCGACTCTTTACATTTACCAGCTTGGCACACTGTCATCTACACAGCTACACACTCACAGATTGATCCACCAATTCTTTCTGTGAATTGCTCTAATTATGTGTATCCATTTAGTACTCTCGAACTCTTATTTACTGCCTCAGTGACTTTAATGGCTCAATGCATAATGACAATAAAACCACTCCAATTTCAACCCACACCTTGATAATTCTGATAGGTACCTCTAGAAGAAGTCAGGATTTTTACATACTCTTACCATACTGTGATGTAACCTGTGGAGTTCAAGCTGTCAAAGTACAAGTGATGTTCTGTCCAAACATAGGCTGTTCCAGAGTCATCCATGTCCCCTTTGCTTTGTTCTTTCCATGTACACTGCATCTTGTCAGGGATGAATGAGAGAGCAACATGCAGCACTAGTGACAGGGATGAACCCAGCTGGCTCAGTGACACTGTAAGCTGGTCCTGCTTTGTCATTTCTCCTTTCTGAGGATCCCTTTTGTCACTTATTAACATTAACCATCATTTCACCAGGTTACCAGCACCCCAGACCCCAGTGAAAATAGCTACTGGAAACTACCCTTGCATTGCACCTAGGGCAAGTTACCCACACATCTACATTTTAGCTCTAAAGATGGATTCTATTTTGTCCCTGCTCAGAGGTCTCCATTTCAATGGACCTGAGCTCACACATGGAACTTGCCTGCCTTTACTCCCCTGAAGCCAACACTGTTCAACAAGTGCTAGCTGAATCTCAAGCTTGCCACAATCACTCCAAACAGCATTTGATCTGTACTCAAAGCAGCTGATGCTGAAGAGTGTAGTGTATTTAATGGGTCATTAAGCTGTGCTCATCTTTCAGTTTAATGATGTTATTCAGTTAAATAACATAAGGTCTGCCAGCCATATCATAACACTGCTACCAGCAGGTTGCTCAAACATCCTGGGTTTATCAGCTGGAAGGCAACAGCAGAAAAAGCACCCTGTGGCCATCTTTGCCACAGTCACCTCATGGCTAGTGGTATTTTAGTGAAACCTTCAGCCTCAGGATTTGAGTCTTCAGTCTCAGTGGCACTCAAAAACCAGCAGTACAGTAACTCTTCCCTTGTAAAGGCAGAGTTAATAATTACCTTCCTGAGTGAAAACTGCTTTTCTGTACTCCTGAGAGCTTTAATTTACCATGGCAGAAAGCTGGCATTAAAGACAGATGACCCTGCTCCCAGCAGAGGTCAGGCCAAAAGCTTCAAAACATCTTGTCCTTAGATTTAAATGTCATGGGGGAAGTTACTTTTATCTATAAAGCCATCTATCACTATAGCATTGATTAATCACTTCTCCTGGTTTAAGGGCACAAACATGTCAAATACAGGCATCAGCTACTGCCAACTGTTAAACTTCTACTTTTAATTAGTGCCGTTCTCACCCAGTACAAATGAAGTGCTGCCTTCAGTTTGCAGGAGTTGAGGGTGTTCAGCAGGTCAGTAGTTCAGGGCACAGATGTCCCTGTCAGGCTCATCCTACCTTCAGTTTACCCTTGAGATACCCCACTCGCACCAGCAGCAACAGCCAGGGCAGACAGTCCCATTCTATTTCTTGCATGGCAATAGCTGCACCATACAGACATCCTCATCTCATAAGCAACTGCAAGCTGAGGGTCAGTTTTCTCTATGATTCGCATAGAAACTACCCATTACTATAGCTTGAGGAGCTCAGACCACAGCTCACAAGATGACTAGAGCAATGCCATGGAAGCAGTCAACCCATCTTAATTAACTTGCATTTCTATACCCATTTTCTCCCCATCTTATTCCTCCCTTATAGAGCCCTACAAGCTTGTACAGCAGTAACAGCCACACCACCCCAGGCAGTTTGCCACCTGTTTGTCTCTCCACAGCCTCTTAAAAACCCTGGCAGTACCTTGGCCTTTGGCACTGCTGTACAGAGCCACACCATCAGCCCCACCAGATTCAGCAAAAGAGCAAGTCCAGATGCATGTAAAAATCCATGAGAGTGGCAGAAGGTCACCATATGAGGCTTGGCAGGATGCGGGCTGTAGCAATTGGACTGCATGCCAAAGCAAATGGTACATAAACTCAGCTTTTACCCTTCAAAAGACTGAGATTTCTGGGGAGCAAATAAGCTTCCTGGAGATGCTCATTAAAACCACTGTTAACACCAACACAACCCAGAATTTATGGTGTGCAATAGGCATAAGGTAAACTAAGCCAGGATTTGGGACAGGCAATAGCCATAAGGGCAAACAGCCATGCTGCTCCTCTGCCTCAAGCAGTAAGGACTGGAATTAAGTCTTCCTTACTAAGATTCCCCTTCTGAGAGAGGCAGCAGCCCAGGCCTGTCCCTTTGGTTTGAGGTGACATCTCACATTCCCTCATTGCAAGGGAGAGACATTTCTGAGGTTTGCAGGGTTGCTTTGAATTAATTATCCTTTCTCCAGCAGAACACTTGAAACTTCTCCCGCTGCATTTCATCCTTTGCAGCCCCCAAGCACGGTTCAGACTTAAAGAACAAAGTACTGCTCCTCTCTGTACATAGAGTTAGATAACAAAAGATACTTCAAGCTCCAGATACTTTTTATTCTACTAGTAGTTGTCTGCTATTGATCTAAAAGCAAAGTAAGAGCATGTAAAAGTAAAAATCACAAAGTTGCCCCTTGGAGAGGTGTTCTGATTGACAAGAGGTTGTCCTTGACCTAAACCTTCCACTGAAATACATCTTCAATGAGACTCTTCATGTTGATTCCCTTCATAATAACACTGAAATCGAGGTAGAATTCTCCGCTGTATCCCTGTACATATTTGCCAATCTGGATCCAGTTACACTGCTAGCATGGACTAGCAGAGGTAGAGCCAACATAAAACTCGCTCTAAAACACTGCATCTTCATTCACAGCAAAATTACCATCACTCTGATCCCTGGCATAGAAACCCCCAGGAGTCAGCAGGGGGACAGAGTTAACTGGCAGCATTTGACAACTGACGTTTACAACATCATTTCAGCCCTTTTAAGTGGATAGCTCTTTGTAGAGTCAATCAGGAAAAATCAAATCCTGTGACACCAGTGGCTCTACTCACCCCTCTTCCACAGGACGGCTTGTAGTGGCAGCAGGCTTTCCTCCATGAAAACCTGGAGCTCTGTACAGGGCTTCAGCAGCCAGCCCGTGTAGAATGGCATCTCCAGCAGCAGCAGCACCACAGATGCTTTCTCCCTTCACACACAGTCATCCCCACTGGCACAGAGAAGTTTTGTCCTTTGTACACCCAGCTTTTGAACTACAAAGCCATTTGGGTCCACAGCATTTATAGCCACCCATTATCCACCCCCCAGGGCATGAAGTGGTCAGGATTGCAGCCTTGCACCTCCCTAGCACCAACCTAAGCAGCACACAGGGCTCTGGTTACCAAGAGGCATCACTCAGAGCCCCACACAGGCAGTGTTATGTCCCCAAGTCAATTGGGGCACCCCCAGCCCCACCTCAGAGCAGCAGGATCGGCATCCCACCTCACCTGCACACAAAACCTGTTGCTAACAAAGCACCTGCAGTTTTACCTCAGCTCCCAGCTACAGCAGGAAGGGAGAAATAGCCCAACCCAGGTTAAGAGCAGCCCCCCCCCCCCCCCAAACCAGAGACCCCCACTTACAGGTGCAAGAGCTCCACAGCAGCCCCTTCTTCAGTGCAGCAAGGAGGAAGGATGCAGCCCCAAGTGCAGCAGAGAGGGAACAGAGACACCCTGCAGCTCCTGCCTGAGGCAAGGAGGAGGCAGAGGAGGAAGGAGGGACTGGGCAGGACAGCCCAAAGCCCACCTCCCAAGCCCTGGGGCAACAGGGCTGTCACCTGCAGCCACCAGCATCATGCACTGGAGAGGGACAACTGGTTGCACATCTGGGCTGAGTTTCTCAAACGTGTTCCTCTGCAAACCCTCCTACTTCTGCTTTTTAAGGCATCCCTTGGCCTTAGAAAACTTGTTCACAGGTTCAGGGAGTAACTTATCAGCTCCCTGACATCCCTTCAGCCATTAGAGCTGGGGTACTACCCTGTAGAACCATCCCCAACATACTAAGCTCTCCCCAGCACAGCAGGCAGCTCTCAGGCTCTCACCCTGCATGCTGAGCTACAGCATTTAGAGAAGACAAGGGGAGCTTTTTAGTCAGCAGCAGGAGTCAGGAGGGGAAAGAACAGTCTGTATGGCCCAAGTTAAACTAGGTATCCTTTGTATGGGGGATGACAGGTTTTGCCTTTCCTGTTCCTGCCTCCCTCCCCAAAATCCAGACCCATAGCGGAGTTGGTAATAGTCATCCCACCATTATCACAGCAAGCCTTCTCCCTCCTCATATAGATTAAGGACACAGGAAAGGAATCTCAGGAATGACAGTGAGTGCTCCAGACCTTACTTAAGTCTCCACATTGAGAGGAAGAACAGAAGCTCCAGGCCTCTGACTTGAACTGGAAAAAGTGTCCTTACTTTTAGCAGGTCCCTTATAGTTCCCCTCTATAGGTACCCCTCTAATCTGAACTAGGCTTAAAAAGCATCTTGCCAGAGATCAGGATAACAAGAAGCTTAACCATTATGCTGTGAGCAGACTGAGCATTTCTACGTGTAATCAATAGGACAAAAGCTAACAAGCACACTTTAAAAAGAACATGTTCCAGCCTTCTTGTATTAATCAATAGAAGCAAAATCCCCATGAAGTCACATACTGGTACCAGCTCAGGCAACGCAGGCAAATGACAACAAAAACAGAAGACAAACAAACCTAAACCTAAGGTCAGCAGGAAACCAGAGATCACCCCCGCAGTACCTAAACATGAGTCAAAGGCAGTCCAATAACACTACTGCGTTAAAGACAAAAAGTAAATAGAGCCAGAAAATATAAAACTAATAGAAAATGAAGATCTTTAACACACCTCTCAGAGAAAGGAGAAGTCCCTGACATGAGCTGAAGTACAGAGCTGGGGCCAATGGGGAAGGGTGTGTGGGTGGGGAGGGTCCAGGTGAGGCCGTCAGGGTTATGGGGACCTGCTGGGCATCCTGAGAACCTTGCTCAGCTACAGCTGGAACTGAGCAGCTCTGACATCTCCACAGCCATCTCCAGGTCAGGCTCTCCAGCCAGGCCCTCAGCACCTTGGAGTGAAGGGGGGAGCACAAACAGCACCTCAAAGTGGTTTCTCAGCAGTGACGCAGAGGGAGGGCAAGCGGTGAGACATGGCTGTGGGGTGCCAAGAGTCACCCGACACACCATGGTCCTTGGGATCTGTGGCATCAGATCTGATTGTATAGGGAGTCCACTCCAAATGATGGGCACAGACTACGAGCTGGATGATTACTGTTTGTTGCCTACTGCCCTTCACATCAATCCACAGCAGCTGAAATCAGAAAGACCCATTTAAAATAATACCTGTGGGAACAAGGGAGAACCATCTCCGGCTTTCCCAGATCCTAGACCCATCCCAAGCACATCAAGGGCAGTAACAGGCTGTCACCATGTGTGGCCAGCAGCGTGGGATGGCTGAAAGAAGCCGGGAGGTCTCCATGGATTCTGTACAGGGACAGAAGCATCAATCTCAATCTTGGATCAGGCCAAGTTTGCGTCCTGGGTGAGTTGCGTGTGGGTGTGATGGGGTGAATGGCTCACAAAGTGTTGATGCATTGCGGGGCTATCTTGCGCTCTGATTTCTTCTCCTAATTTGACAGTCTTTTAGTGGTGAGAGGAGAAGTTGCTGTGTAGGAGGTGAATTATGCTTGCAGATGTAGACTTGATTTTGTTCTTGCAGGGCCTGTGACGTTGCTGTTGTGTGGAGCATCATTGTAGACGCTTGTGATCCCTCAGAGGAAAACGACCCCTTCTGCTTTGTGTTCTGGAGCAATCCCTCCTAAAATATATCCACCTCAGGGTGAGTGATTCTGGGCTCTGTGTGTGCATGTATGCGTTGCAGCTTGCCTGCTCTCTGCACTGCCCCAGCACAGTGTCATGGGCACGTGTGCCATCATGACACACGTGAGGACTGGCTGAGAGGGCAGTGGCAGCCTGGACAGGTCAGAGAGTAAAACCGGTACCAAACTTTGTCCTGAGCATAAGGCCAGGATTTGTGTCACAGCAAGGGTTTCCGGCTCTACATTCTGGGAGTTCATTCACCAGCAACACCAGGGAAGAAGGAAGCTCAGGGTTTATTCCCCCAAGGAACTTTGGAGCACTAGAAAAACACTAGAGCACTGGAACACTAGAAAGCCTTCACCAGGGAGGCTGCAACAGAGGTGCAGGTTGAGTCCTGGACACCTCTAAGCTCATCTCTATATATCCTGCCTTACGACAGCAGCGAGGATCCAGTCTGGACAGTGCCCAAATCCCACTCCAGACACATTTCCAGCAGCAACAGCTCCTGTGGCTCTGAAGGGTTCAAATTAAGGTTGATTGGGGTGAGGGTTCATTTCCAGCTATAGCTTCTGGAAATCCATCTGGAGAGGGTTTGGGTGTGTGTTCATTCCTGCCTTGATGTCTTACTCTGTTTCTCAAGATGCTTTACTGACTGACCATGGCTAGGAAGGGAATGACCACATACAACATTGCTGAGGCAATGAAGAAGTGATGGTTTTGTCAAACTGGAGTTTAGAATTCCATGGAGCAAGGAATCCCTTCAAGCTCTCGGAGCTTACAAAGTAGAATGCTGATCAGTGAACCTTCTGGATAAGAGGAAAGGTAACAACAAACTTCAGACAGAGGAGGAAGGCAGGTGTGATTTTGACAAGACCAGCAAAACAGAACTGACAGCTAGCTGTGTGCCTACAGGAACTTGGTTCATGATAATACTAAAGACACAAGGCCCTTGCCCACAGAGACCCTTACTCATGGGACGTGTCATTCCCCGGGGGGGAACACGCACCTTGCTCTCCCCTATTCCATACAACAGAACCTCCCTGTGCTCGGACAGCCTGGAATGCTGTCACTGATGCTCCCGCAGCACCTCCCTGTGTTCCCCTTCCTCCGCTAGAGGGCGGCACCGCACCGCTCCCGCACTCTCCCCGCTGGCAGCCG